ACCTTTGTTTTTACAAACACTAGCATACTTTGCACATTACCATTATAATTATACTACATTTTTCTCACATCACATATGCTAGAAATCGTTCCCCCCGACACGGAACATTCAATCACAAAAGAGCATATTCAAATCATCTTTTACAGCTGCAGAGCAGTCCACTGTATGCAGCTATCATGATTTACTTAACCAGTCCCTGCTAACAGACATTTAGGTGTTTCTAATTTCTAGCTATCACAAACAAGCAGCATTACTATGCTTTAAAATAAAACAACATGGCCAGGCACAGTGGTTCAGGCCTGTAGTTCCAGCAATTTCAGAAGCTGAGCCAGGTGAGTCACCTGAGCCCAGGAGTTCCAGACCAGCCTGGGCAAATGGCAAAACTCTGTCTTTACAAAGAAGGCAAAAAAATTAGCCAGGCATGGTGGTACACACCTGTACTCCCAGCTACCCGGGAGGCTGAGGTGAGAGATCACCTGAGCTTAGGAGGTTGCGGCTGCAGTGAGCTGTGATTATGCCACTCCACTCCAGCCTGGGCAACTGAGTGAGACTCTGTCTCAAAAAATTAAAATACAGACCAGGAGTGGTGGCTCACACCTGGAATCCCAGCACTTTGGGAGGCCAAGGCAGGCAGATAACCTGAGGTCAGGAGTTCGAGAACAGCCTGACCAACATGGTGAAACCCCCATCTCAATAAATAAATAAATAAAATAAAAATATACAAAACAACGTAACATAAAAACAAAAAACATACTTCAGGTCGGGTGTGGTGGCTCATGCCTGTAATCCAAACACTTTGGAGGCCAAGGAGGGTGGATCACCTGAGGTCGGGAGTTCAACACCAGCCTGGCCAATATGGTGAAACCACGTCTTTAAAAAATAAAAAAAATAAAAATACTTCAAATTACCAGCTAGGATACTTATGTTTCAGACCCAGGTCAATCATAAAATCAATGTTCAGCCCTCCCAGAAAAGTTCTCATGTATGGACCTGACCTCTTATCAGTTGACTGTCTTAGCAAAATCTTACAATTTGGTCTATTCCATAAGCTCACTTATTTGGTTAAGTAAACAATGTCTATGGTTTTACTAAATTATTTTAATAAACTGCATAATTATGTGATAGTTAAATATATACCAACCTGTTATATGAGACAAGCTGACCTGCAGGTAATCCAAGGCCAGTGAATCAATTACTGCTTGTACATTGTGTGCATCATCCTCTTGACTCCCAGGAATAGCTATGAGGTCTGTGGGGGGGTGGGGAAATCACAGAATTTTGTATCCATGAAAGGCCAAGTTTTCATCGAATTGTCTCTGACTAGGCTACTGAATAAGCTCAACTGCTATAAAAGGAAGCTCTGCCCAAATAGAACATGCTATAAAGTACAAACAAAGTTCATAAATCCTGAACTCTACACAACAGAATCTTTGGTTATTTACTGATTAAGCTGATTTATCAATGTTGGATATAGACTGGTTAAATATAGTTAAATATTACACCCAACCTATATATACATACATATACATATATACATAAACATGCTCTACAAGAATCACCATGCTAAGGAAGGTAAAGTGGCCCCTAAATTCAAAGAGATGCTAATAGCCTAGTAAGGGAGGCCAGACAAGAGACTTTAACCCATAACTGTGGGGGGGGGGGGAGGGAAAGAAAGAGTGAGAGTGAGTGAGTGACTGAGTGAGTGAGAGAGAGACAGACAGACAGACAGACAGACACACCACACAGCAGGCATTCAAGGAGGATTCTTACACACATGCATATATGTACGTTTATTTATTTATTGAGACAGGGTCTCCCTCTGTTGCCCAGGCTGGAGTGCAGTGGCATGATCTCGACTCATTGTAACCTCCACCTCCCAGGCTCAAGCAATTCTCTTGCCTCAGCCTCCCGAGTAATTGGGACTACAGGCAATTTTTCTATTTTTAGCAGAGATGCGGTTTTGCCATGTAGGCCAGGCTGGTCTGGAACTTCTGGCTTCAGGTGATCCACCCACCTCAAGTGATCAGCCTCCTAAAGTGCTACGATTACACGCGTTAGCCACCACACCTGGCCATTGTAAGTCCTTTTAAATACCCAACTAGAAGTACTGGTATCTAGATTTAAAAGGCCAGCACAGGCTGGGTGTGGTGGCTCATGCCTGTAATCCTATCACTTTGGGAGGTGGACACAGGAGGATCACTTAAGCTCAGGAGTTGGAGACCACCGTGGTCTTGAACAAAGTGAGATGATGAGCAAGATGAAAAGGCATATGTGCTTAACTGTCCTGGGAAATTAGGTACATCAGGTACAAACATCAATTCTTATCCCTAGTACTGGTTAAGTAACAGGATCCAACAAATTCCGAAGTTCCACTCAATTTTAGATGAAGGTACATTTACAGAAAGGATGTGACTTTCACAAGGCATTAGGCATGATTGGATTAAGCTGTGATTATCAAGAGCCCTCAAACAGATCTGCTCAAGGCCATTATTATAAGTGGGTTCCATCGGGTATTCCTTAAGAAATATTTAAATTATATAATATACAAAATTAAATACAATTTAATATACAACATTAAAATAAAGATGTAGGCAAAGAGAAAGTGAAATTTTATAAATACCAAAGCCTCTAAAGGACCAAAAACTTTTGACGTAAGATACAGGCAAAATTACTCCTTTTAGTATTCTTACCTGGTACCTTTTCTCCCAAAATAGACTGATAAAGGGCAATAAAAACATTAGCATCACAGTCTTCAAGTTCACGTATTCTCAGATGTATGTGACACTTAAAAAGAAGGTTATTGGCAATGGTTACCCACTCTGTTGGGAAAAAGAGGAAAAGATCAGTCTTAAAAACCACCAGAAAAAAATCACACATTTAAAAAAATCCAACCACCATGCCCCTCCCCCCAAAAAAACAGACACTGAACTTTGTAGAAGATAAGGAATTTGATTGTTACAGAATTTCAAAAACTCTTCTAAGGCATGATTTTTGAAAAGATGTATTTAATTTCTTGGAATGACTTCCAGAGTGCTGTAACTTCTATATAGCCAAAACTATATAATGCAAATTTAACTGCTACTGTTGCAGCCTAAATCTTAAGTTAAATAAGTATTACATGGGTGTTTTTAGTTAAAACATATTTACAAGTAAAGGAGAATACTGTGTCATAAACAGTTTAATGATAATCCGAGGTTACTAGAAACTCATTAATGGATGTTGCTTCAAACTCCCAATAGTATTGGTCGTGTGTTTCCCCAATTATCCTGTGCAAGTGAGGATTTCTCCAGTGCCCGAACACGTGGTGATTAAACTTAGGCTATTAAGAACTGGTATAATGACAGTATCAACACTAATACATTTATAAGTTTTTCTTTTTTATTATGCTGATCTAGATGAAAGAAAATATGGAGGTACATGAAAACATCCCTAAACACAGAATTATCAATACTGTTGACCTTTCCTGTGCTCCAGACTCCCCTCCCCCAGATATAGCTGGGGTTTGCAAAGTTTAACGGTTTCTCTACCAAAAGTAACTTAGCTTAAAATACTTGTTCCCTGAAATGCCTGGCGATTGATAGGAAAGCACTTTCCTTCGGTACTAGAAACAAACGTCTCCACAATATTCTGTACACAACGTTCTGGAAACAAGTGAGTGTGTGTATCTTCCATGCACATAATCCTCCTCCCCACGCCCATTTCTCACAGTTGGCCAAACCGTGACAACTGGTTTGTAAGCAGTCCTGGCGAAAAGGATGAAAGCGTCCTAGACAACCAAATTCGCTTTTCAAAAGCGGTGCTTGACAAAGCTCATGACTTTAGAGGCCACTGAAGAGAAAAAAGCACCACTATTCTACTTCGACATGGGCATCAACAAATCTTAAGGTGCTGTTCCTTTAAAGGCCAATACAAAAGTAGGTACGACCTCAGGGCCCACAGTGCAAGGGCGGAGAGCACACGGACAGCGGCCAGACACAGAAGGACAAGTCCGGGGACGACCCTTCTGGTTGCTCTTTTTGCACCCAGGACCCGAGTGTGCTACCAGGCTCGCCCCAGTGCCTCTCTCTCTCCCACCACCTATCACCGTTCCACAGCCTCAAAGCGAAGGACAAAAGCTGAGAGACCCTATCCAGAGACTCCGCCACCGCGACGCGGCGTCTGACAGTCACGAGTCCCGCCTAGACCCAGTCCCGGCCAGCCCAAGGCCTCCCTGAAGCTGGACGGCCTCAGTCTACACCAAACGGGACCCCAGGTCGACACTCACCAGCCTCCGAGCAAGCCATGTCTTGGACGCAGTACGCCCCCGGACTCCGACACCGCCAGGCAGGCTACGGTGTCCTGGAAGAGCCTATCCACACAGACCCGACGCTGGGAGGCGGGCGAACGAACCCAAGCGCAGGGAAGGAGGCGTGAAAGAGGGAGGGACATCAAAAGGGCTGCTCGCCGCTTATTGGTCACAGAGGAGCACTTCCTTTCACAGCACGTGCCAGGGGAGCGGTTTGCGGAGTTTAGAGACCATTCTCCGCCGGCCAGAACCCGGTAGATGATTGTCAGACCCGTGGGTCCGACGATCCAAGTCAGCTGGCGGCCCAGGCGGGTCCTGGGGCGTTGGGAGCGCACTTCCGGTGAGCTATTTCGTTAGGTATCCCTCCGCCGACGTCAACGGAGAAGTAGTGCGGCCCGCTGACCGGTGGGCGGGGTGGTACAGTCACGTGACACGCCAGTCCCCGCCTGCCATTTGGTTACGGGCGTGAGGGCTCTTTGGAGACATAAACATCTCCGAATGAGGAGGGTTGGCTGGTCTGGGCTGGCTGTTTTATCATCTGGCTGGGCCTGGGAAAGGGCGGGGTGGCTTGTTTGAGGTGTGAAAAGACGAGAAGAAGGTGAGGTCAAAGGAGTGCACAATGACGCATCCCTGTGGTGGATGGGCCCTGGGCGACCCCGGAGCGCCGGCTGGCGCTGCGGCTTCTGCGCGAGGGGCGGGGCGATTAGGTCATAGAGCAGATCCCAGCATTCCTTGCGGCGTAGGAGGCGGTCCAGACTATAAAAGCGGCTGCCGGAAAGCGGCCGGCACCTCATTCATTTTCACCGGTCTCTGGGCGTGCAGCTCCGGCTTGTGTCATCGCTGTTCCTCCTCCGCTGCCGCCCCCGCAAGGCTTCGCCGTTGTCGAGGCCATTTCCAGCGTCTCGTCGCACCCTTTTCTCTGTACTTCGTTCCCCGCCAACCGCAACCATTGACGCCATGTCAGGTTATTCGAGTGACCGAGATCGCGGTCGGGATCGAGGGTGAGTGTGGAAGCCGAGCTGTCAGGCCTAGCGGGTGGGGGATGGGAGGGCGGGTGAGGGTGGCGGCCGGCGGGGACTTGGGGACTCGGACTCGGCCTTTCCGGACTGTCCTGGGGCCTCGTCTCTCAAAGACTTGCGCCATTTTGATAATCACGTAACAGTGATTGGGAGAGATTTACCGGCGTAGTGTCCTTAAGCTCACTTTTTGTGTGGGGATTAGGAAGCCGTCGGGGCCGCTGCCATTTGATAGCTAGCTGTTGGAGGAATTCTCAGGGAGCGTATTGTGCGAAGGAAGGCACGACGCCTCGAATAGGACCAAGTAGCAGCTGTTAGATTCTGCTTTTCGGGAGGTGTTTTTGGGGTGGCCGGGTATTCTGTGGGAGCGAGAGGACCACTTCCAAAGCCACTGATGCTGTGGGGGTAGGAGGGCGGTCGGCAGTGCCGGCATCAGCCATGTGTCTGAGTCTCGGGTACAAAATGCCGGCCTCGGACATGGCGGCGGCGCCTTTGTTACCCCGCCCGGCGGAGGAGCTCAAAATGGCAGCGTCGAGAAAATGTGGCGCAGAGAGAAATGCGAGACAAAGGGGGAAGCGCCGCCCCAGCGGGAACGCCGCCCGGCCGGCTCCGCCCGGGCCGGGACTCCTCCCCCGGTAATCGCCGGCTCCTCCTTTTCTTTTTTCCTGCATTATATAATTTTGATTCGTTGATCGGGAGCTCTACCGCGGCGTCCCCCCACCTCGGTTTGCTAGCAGAGGTGTTTGCGAGAAAACCCTTGTTCTGGTCTCTCTGTCTGTACTGTCTCGATTCTTACCTCCAAAGCTCTTTGGCTTGAAAACGGCCATATAAGTAACATCGTTGGGATGCTCTTCGGTTCGTGTATCCTTGTTGTTCTTGATACTTAATTGTTAGACTGGTGGGGAAGATTATAGTAACCACGAGAAGTGGTGTGTATCCGAAATTATGGCATCTGGGCGGCAAGTTTCCGACTTGATAAATCCCGGGCTGTTTACATGGCCTAAGTAATGTGTACTTGGGACTACTAGAAATGTTAATTGTTGGTAGGAGAAAGACTACCACTAAGGACAGTGCTAGGTTTACTAAACCTCTTGAGGTCGTTTTTCAGTCATCTGTAGCTTGTGTCAAGGGATGGTAAACAAATCTGTACAGAAGCCTGTATTTAGGTATTTGAAAATGTGAATAACGTTTTTTCTTCATTTCAGGTTTGGTGCACCTCGATTTGGAGGAAGCAGGGCAGGGCCTTTATCTGGAAAGAAGTTTGGAAACCCTGGGGAGAAACTAGTTAAAAAGAAGTGGAACCTTGATGAGCTGCCCAAATTTGAGAAGAATTTTTATCAGGAGCACCCTGATTTGGCTAGGCGCACAGCAGTGAGTAAATTCATGTGTGTTCATCAGGCTGTAACTGAGTAATGGATTCTAGTAAATGAAAATCTGGCAGGTGTTTTGCAAATGATTCAATTTTGGTTGAGTTACATTTTTTGACTTCATAATTGGGAAGGTTGTGACTCACTTTTGGAAATAGGTGGCTTTGGGGTTTTTTTTTTTTTTTTAATTTTTTTTTACTTAATTAAGCTGAGAATAACATAATAAACTGTTCTTTTGCCATATAGTGTTTTCATATGTGGGCAAGATAAAAACGAAAGCTAATTTAGTTACTCAATTACGAATTTAGGGGCTTACCAGTTACATTTAGCTAGGGGTGGTTGCCATGAACTTTAAGACTGTGACAATTTGTTTTTGCAGCAAGAGGTGGAAACATACAGAAGAAGCAAGGAGATTACAGTTAGAGGTCACAACTGCCCGAAACCAGTTCTAAATTTTTATGAAGCCAATTTCCCTGGTAATTCTAGTTTTCAGTTCTACCTACCACTGGGCTTTTGTTCCCACCCACCCCCTCTTTTACTTGTCATTACTAATTTTTACTAAATATCTGTCACTGTAGCAAATGTCATGGATGTTATTGCAAGACAGAACTTTACTGAGCCTACTGCTATTCAAGCTCAGGGATGGCCAGTTGCTCTAAGTGGATTGGATATGGTTGGAGTAGCACAGACTGGATCTGGGAAAACATTGTCTGTAAGTTTGAGGGAACTCTTGAGTTGATCTGATATATGCAAAAAAAAATGGAATGGTAATTTAAAAACTGGAATATTTTAATATAATTTTTTTTGTTTCCACCTTCACCCAATATAGTATTTGCTTCCTGCCATTGTCCACATCAATCATCAGCCATTCCTAGAGAGAGGCGATGGGCCTATTGTAAGTATATATTTTTATCTTTTGATTAAAGCATAACGTATAGATTTCTAGACTGCATAGCAAAAAACAATCATTTGTGGTGGTTTTATATAGAGGTTAGCTCACCTTATTTAGTTGAAGCTGCTTTGGGTATTGGACAACACATATTTAGAAAGGATCTGCAAGCATAAGTTAGTAGTTAAAAGTTAGTTTAAAACTAGTATCCAAGTTTGTGCTGAAAGTTGTTTCTCTTTCCTTAGTGTTTGGTGCTGGCACCAACTCGGGAACTGGCCCAACAGGTGCAGCAAGTAGCTGCTGAATATTGTAGAGCGTGTCGCTTGAAGTCTACTTGTATCTATGGTGGTGCTCCCAAGGGACCACAAATACGTGATTTGGAAAGAGGTAGATAATGAAAAGGGTTTTATTTGTTAGTAGGTGCTAAATATCCTGGGTATTGTAGTTACAGTTGTGTGTTTAACAATTAAAGGCGTGGAAATCTGTATTGCAACACCTGGAAGGCTGATTGACTTTTTAGAGTGTGGGAAGACCAATCTGAGAAGAACCACCTACCTTGTCCTTGATGAAGCAGATAGAATGCTTGATATGGGCTTTGAACCCCAAATAAGGAAGATTGTGGATCAGATAAGAGTAAGTGTCCTTCTAAATATGTGCTCAAATTCAATTCTGTTTTGGCTTTTAAGTCCGATGCTAATTCTACCCCACTCCAATCCATTAGCCTGATAGGCAAACTCTAATGTGGAGTGCGACTTGGCCAAAAGAAGTAAGACAGCTTGCTGAAGATTTTCTGAAAGACTATATTCATATAAACATTGGTGCCCTTGAACTGAGTGCAAACCACAACATTCTTCAGATTGTGGATGTGTGTCATGATGTAGAAAAGGATGAAAAGTAAGTTTTAATTAACTCTGCTATGTTTGCTAACAAGTTCGCTGTAAAATTGAGAGATTATTGATGTTGTTAGGTTATTTCAGTTGGTGTGATCTACTTCATTATAGTGTTAGCCTATTAATCCTTTTGAAAATCTCTTGAATCCTTCAAATAATTGACTGTCATCATTTATAGCATTCCTATGGAAGAAATTCTTGTGTTCCTTCGTTGACTTAAGGACCAAAGGTCCAACTACTTGTTAACTGCTTGGGTTAGCAGGTGTTTCTTCTTTGACTTTCAGCCATGTAAATTAAACCTAATGTTTTGCTGACCGTAAATGTGTGGCCATAGCGATGGTCTTTTAAAACTCAGGATTTTCCAGGGGAGGGTAAATTAAAAAAAAAAAAAAAGAATTTTCCTTTTTCTGTTTTACTAGACTTATTCGTCTAATGGAAGAGATCATGAGTGAGAAGGAGAATAAAACCATTGTTTTTGTTGAGACCAAAAGAAGATGTGATGAGCTTACCAGAAAAATGAGGAGAGATGGGTATGTGTGGGCTCCTGCATCGAAGCAGATTTATTAGAACTGAGCTTAGGAAGGGCAAAGTTGGATCAGGAACAGTTGATTTAAGTTTCATATCCGATAGTATAGGTAAAACGATGTATGTTACTTGTTGGTGAAATTAAAGAGATCTGTGAATAAAGTGATTAAGCAGTTGAGTCTTGAGGTTTTCAATGTGAGTTTAATAATGCAACTTGTCTTTTGACTTAGGTGGCCTGCCATGGGTATCCATGGTGACAAGAGTCAACAAGAGCGTGACTGGGTTCTAAATGGTAAATATTTCAAATGAAGCTTTTCCCCTTCCTTAATCTAGCTAGAATTCTGCTCAGATAATTGATCATCTGTATGCCTTCCTTTTTGTAGAATTCAAACATGGAAAAGCTCCTATTCTGATTGCTACAGATGTGGCCTCCAGAGGGCTAGGTTAGTACAAACTCGCATTCATGGCTTGGTTTCCCAGAAGATCTCCATTTAACTTTTTTAAAGAAAGTTTATTGCTTTCTTTAACCTCTGCATTTTTTCTAAGTTTTTTTTCACATAAAGGTGCAGTCTTTGTGGCAAGGCCTAGGCATGACAATCGGAGGACTCGAGGGGGATGGAGGACTAGTGATCGGCTGGCTGCTTCCAGTCGATTAGAGAGGTGAAAAGCTGAACGTGTGCCAGTAATCTTCAAAAGGCAGAACATACCACCTCTGCCCCGTAAACTGTTCTCTCCGAGGGAAAATAAGGAAGTTATCCTCACAGTTCACTGCCGTGGTATTTCTTCTGTCCCATGCTTTGCATGACTGCCATGGTACAGCATTGTTTCAAACTGTTCACTGTGATCTGTGGGTCTTTGAGTTTCAGTGAGTTTGCTGAAATGTCGAAGAAATATTTCCAAACTTCAATGTTCAATGAAATTTTTGTTCAAGTTTGAAATGGAGAGAGCAGCTTTAAAAGGTACTAAAGCCTTTTACAAATTGGTGAGTACTGGCACATGAGATGTAGAGCAGGAGCAACTTCTCACACTTAAGTCAGTGGGAAAAGAAAGTGCTTTGAAAGTTCCTCCCTCACCTACACAGTAGTCGTCATGTCGAGACCTGCCAGAGAGAGACACATTCTCAAGTGAATCCTGGCTTCTTCGAAGCGCTTGCCTAGACGAGACACAGTGCATAAAAACAACTTTTGGGGGACAGGTATGTTTTCTTGCAGCTGCGGTTGTAAGGTCTTGGCAAGACAAGCAGTGTGGCCAGAGAATTTTGAACTTCTGATAAATGTGTAATGCAAAGGACCTTGTACATTTTTTTGTTTCAAGGTCCTCAAAATGAGCACATGAAGAGGTTGCTGTGAAACTTTAAGTGGCCCTACTGCGCAGAAGCATTCAGATGTCACTTGATGATCTGTAAGGGAACTTGCTGATTTGGGAATGTGCTAGGGAATACACATTCCTTTTGACAGGGTCTGTCATTGGGTGGGTGAAGACTTAACACAGATGACATGTGCTTTTTTTTCTTTTTTCAATCTCAAATGGTATTCCTACAGGGAATGGATAACCATTTTAACTGTATTTTTTGCAGCCCGTACCTTCTTGGGAATACAATTGTCTAACTTTTTATTTTTGGTCTGGCTGTTGTGGTGTGCAAAACTCCGTACATTGCTATTTTGCCACACTGCAACACCTTACAGATGTGGAAGATGTGAAATTTGTCATCAATTATGACTACCCTAACTCCTCAGAGGATTATATTCATCGAATTGGAAGAACTGCTCGCAGTACCAAAACAGGCACAGCATACACTTTCTTTACACCTAATAACATAAAGCAAGTGAGCGACCTTATCTCTGTGCTTCGTGAAGCTAATCAAGCAATTAATCCCAAGTTGCTTCAGTTGGTCGAAGACAGAGGTTCAGGTAAGGATGACTGATAGGAAATGTTGGTAGTTATGAGTCACATCATTGTCTACAAATCCATTTAAGTGGTATTGGAGGGTGAGTAAAACCTTGAATGTGAAAACTTGTAAAACGCATTTCAAACCTACAATGAATAGATAATTCTTTCTGTCCGCAGTTACTTGTGTCATAGACATAATTGATCAATTTGCAATTGTTTTCTTGACAGGTCGTTCCAGGGGTAGAGGAGGCATGAAGGATGACCGTCGAGACAGATACTCTGCGGGCAAAAGGGGTGGATTTAATACCTTTAGAGACAGGGAAAATTATGACAGAGGTTACTCTAGCCTGCTTAAAAGAGATTTTGGGGCAAAAACTCAGAATGGTGTTTACAGTGCTGCAAATTACACCAATGGGAGCTTTGGAAGTAATTTTGTGTCTGCTGGTATACAGACCAGTTTTAGGACTGGTAATCCAACAGGGACTTACCAGAATGGTTATGATAGCACTCAGCAATACGGAAGTAATGTTCCAAATATGCACAATGGTATGAACCAACAGGCATATGCATATCCTGCTACTGCAGCTGCACCTATGATTGGTTATCCAATGCCAACAGGATATTCTCAATAAGACTTTAGAAGCATATGTAAATGTCTGTTTTTCATAATTGCTCTTTATATTGTGTGTTATCAGACAAGATGATAGTTATTTAAGAAACATGGGAATTGCAGAAATGACTGCAGTGCAGCAGTAATTATGGTGCACTTTTTCGCTATTTAAGTTGGATATTTCTCTACATTCCTGAAACAATTTTTAGGTTTTTTTTGTACTAGAAAATGCAGGCAGTGTTTTCACAAAAGTAAATGTACAGTGATTTGAAATACAATAAATGAAGGCAATGCATGGCCTTCCAATAAAAAATATTTGAAGACTGAATTAAGTGGAAATTGTACTTTATTTTACATATGTCATGTAAACTTTGCTTAGATGATTTTTTTTAATCATGAAAACAAATGACTGCTCCTTTTTAATTTGGGAGGCGGTGGGGAATCAGAAGGCCCTTCTTTACAATGAGCTATTCATATTGCTGGAGTCAAAATGAATTAATTTAGGTGAATTTTTAATTATGGATAAATTGGATAAAAGCTTTGTTAGCTCCCAACGTCAGGGGAGTCATTTAATATTCTGTTCCTTATTTGCTAGTATGGTTAAATGAGAAAATAGTAAAATAGATACAAAGTCATCTGTATAATGTGAGAACGTGGATGACTTTGTTTTGCAGATTTATAATTTAAAAAACTCCAAATAACTGGCGTTTTCACGAGATTTATATTCATGCTCTTGGCTATACTGTGAATTACTGAAATGTTGAATGAACCTGGGAAAGACGTTAGTCCTTTAAGATGACCAAGAGCTAAGCCTGAGTCTCCTTGATTGAATTTGCACAATGTCCTTAGTGCAGGTTGCTTGTAGATTCTCGTTTTCACAGGCTCCCTGGGGCTCTTTTCACTTTAGTCACACTGGGAGTCATGAATGTCTTTCCAATAATTCAGGGAATTCTAGAGATCTTCAAACTGTAAGGTCTATTCATACTCTAACACTAGGAAAAAACCTCATTAAAATTAATGGCTAATCAGGAGGCAACATAACCAAAAGCACAGTGAATACAAGTTTTCATGTTAGATTCAACATGGGTTTATTGCTAGACCCAGGGGATAGCTTTAGATTTAACTTTGGCTCACCAACCTAACTTTCTGATCATTTATTTCAGTGATAGCTAGAAATGGGTCTGAATGTTTTCCCAGAGTCTGAGATACGTGTCTTGCCAGAAGAGAGGTCTCGAGGACACTTCATTTAAATTCTGATTATTGGACTGAGGCTTTAATTGTTAATGCCTTATGTCAAATGTAAAGTTAGATTTTGCTAGGTCTGGGATGGGGAGTGATATTTCTAGAACTTAGACATTGAAAACTAATTCAGCCTCTAGTAACCTGGATGGTTTTCAGTGGCATGGTTAGTCAAATTCATGGTTTTAAACTTACAAGCAGCTTTTGTGGGAGGCGGGTAGGTTGGAGCATTTATTACATATTTTACTGTTTAATGTCTAACCGTGGGCCTTTTAATTTGTAAACACTGAAATGATTTGTGGGACTGTGGAAAACATTTACCTATTTACCTTTGAAGTTTTAAAAGACAGTCCACTTTTTAGCATGTGTGTTGTGTCCAGCCTGTGGTTGTCTTAATAAATGTGATTTTTCTCCCCATTCTCTCTTTTATTTATTTGCGTATAGGCCTCTTACCTGGTGTGAGTTCCTGAAAGTGGAAAACACCTGGCAGTAGTACCCAGCTTTGCAGCTAATTACTATATTTGCTTTCCAGCAATACTGTTTCACTTTCTAGCTTGCCTCTTTTTAAACCCTGTACACACTTGTAAAGAACTGTTTCCCGAACCTGGTACGGCACTTTACTAATGATAAAAAATACTTTACTGCTAAGCTATATTAACTCAACTGCTAAGCTGTTACCCACTCTTAATCAAATGGTAGTTTGGTAGTCTAGTGAAATATCTTTAAAGGTTTCTGTAAGTGAAACTGGTATAAGAAATCATGGGCTTTGGAATCAAATTTCTTCCTTAGTCTGGGTATACAACCTTTCCACTTTCTGGGCAGTTCTTCCCTATTTAAGTAGAAATTGTAAAGTCAGAAACCTGTGATGTAATCATGGGTCTTTGAAAAAAAAGTCACAAGTCTCATTGTTTTGATGATCCTGTAGAAGGGGGCCCTGGAAGAAATCGCAGATATGTTAATGGTTTTCTGTGCATCACCAAGAGGGCTTAAGACGTGTCTGTGCCCATTGGTTTATTTCTCGTGCATTTCCAGGTGAGGCAGATGCTGCCTGGGGACTGCCTTTGTCAAGCCACTGCAATAAAGTGGGGCTTTGGGACTACCCCTGTCCCAAAGCCCCACCGCAGCCTGGGTGCTTAAGCAAGACAACGGCTCTGGGGTTAGGCACGGGCCTCCAGGGGGCGGCATTTGCTTAAGAGTCAAGGCCTGGGCTTGTAAACCACAGTGGAGGACTAAAACTCTTTAAGAAATGCCAAATTTGATGTTGCCCAAATCATTTGTATATGCTTCAAGGTGAAGTGCTTTCAGATCGAGATGTATGTATAGATGGTCTGGATAACACGGAAATATTTTAATTTTCTGGATTGCCAAACTGGGGAAGGAAGGTGAAGCTGACCTAAGTGGCTATGGCAGTTATAAATAGGTGGGGATAACCATTATTGGTGCTTACGAGGACAGAAATACTAGCAATTGGGAGTATGAGGAGAGAGGCTCGAGGAGGAGAACGGCAAATTAAAGAACCATCCGGACCGGCGTCCGCCATGGTGGGCGGGGGATGGCCGCGGCCGGAACGTAGTGATGCGCTTCCGGGGTGGGGCCTGCTGCCCGCAAGCACGCTCTTCGTCGTCGCGCCTGCGCTCTGACCTCCCTGGGTTCTGTTAACGGTGGTGGCGGCTTATTGGGAGCCGCTGGCTGATGGGAGAGAGTGCTCTTTAACTTCTAAGGGAGATGCGCTCTCTTGTATCTGTCAGGGCCTGTCATAAGGTCTGCAGGTGCCTGTTGTCTGGGTTTGGGGGTCGAGTAGATGCTGGGCAGCCGGAGCTGTTGACGGAAAGGAGTAGCCCCCACGGAGGGCACCCGAGGTCGCACGCGGAACTCCAGGGGAACGGCGAGCACCCAGAAGCCCCCGAATCTGGAGAGGGAGGCGAGGCACTGTTAGAGATCTGTCAGAGAAGGCATTTCCTAAGTGGAAGCAGGCAGCAGCATAGCCGGGATTCTCTTCTGAGCGGGTGCCACCCCGGCTTTGGACCCTTGGGCGTAGAGTTGCGGAAGAACCTGGCCGCAGAATGGTGGACCTCGGTGGTGGTGTTCAGGGAGCAGGTCTTCCCGGTGGACGCCCTCCACCACGAACCAGGCCCTTCGCTGCCCGGGGACAGTGGCTTCAGGTTAGTGTCTGCAGAAACTCTACGCGAAATCTTGCAAGACAAAGAGCTGAGTAAGGAACAGCTAGTAGCATTTCTTGAGAACGTATTAAAAACTTCTGGGAAACTACGGCAGAACCTTCTTCACGGTATGCTTCACGATTTCATTCAAAACAAGTGTCGGGTGGAAAAGCGAGGCATTCTTGCTGGGTCTTGGGGATTGCAGCTGGTCCTTTATTCCCATGCAAAGGAAGTTAGCTAGTTCTCCTAACTAGTAGTCGAGTAGATTAACAGTGCTCTCCCTTGGAGAAAACTGGTCCTCAGAGAATCTGTCCGAAGGATCTGGGAAGTCTCAATTTCACGGGGCAACTTTTGAACACAGTGCTGTCATTTACTGCCATGTAGTATGAGTGCATAAGGAACTACAAAGACATTTTGAACTTTTCTTAGATTTATTCTAAGTAGAAATGTTGGAGTTATAATTCTGAAACTATTTAATGTATGTTATAGAATAAATCAAGGCCGGGCGCGGTGGCTCACGCCTGTATTCCCAGCAGTTTGGGAAGCTTAGGCGGACAGATCACCTGAGATCAGGAGTTAGAGACCAGTCTTGGCCCACATGGTGAAACCCCGTCTCTACTAAAAATACAGAAATTAGCCGGGTGTGATGGTGAGCGCCTGTAATCCTCAGCTACTTGGTAGGCTGAGGCAGGAGATTCACTTGAACCCGACAGGGGGACGTTGCAGTGAGGTGAGATCCCGCCACTAAACTCCAGCCTGGGCGACAAGAGCAAAACTCCGTCTCAGAAAAAAAAAAAAGAAAGAAAGAAAATGGGGTTAGTGTTATTAGGAACCAAGATTTTCATTGTAAAAGAAGAGGTAATAAATATAAAAGAAGGTATGTGTAAACTAACGTTAAATATGAATTGGTAAGTTAAAATTGAATATCGGTATAAACTCGTGTTTTTGTTTTTGAGACAGGGTCTCACTGTCACCCAGACTTGAGTGCAGTGGTGTTATCATGGCTTACTGCAGCCTCTACCCCCCGGGCTCAAGTGAACCTCCCACCTTAGCCTCCCAGGTAGCTGGCACTACAGGCGCATGCCACCACGCCCGGGTAATTTTTGTATGTTTTGTAGAGATGAGGTTTTGCCATGTTGTTCAGGCTGGTCTTGAACTCCTGGGCTCAAGCAATCCACCCGTCTTGGCCTCCCAAAGCGCTGAGATTACAGGTGTGAGCCACAGTGCCCAGCCTCATGTTTTTAAAAATATGTATTTCCTAACTTTCTTCATTGAAAGGGCCTAGAGGCCGGGCACGGTAGCTCAAGCCTGTAATCCCAGCACTTTGGGAGGCCGAGGCGGGTGGATCACGAGGTCAAGAGATCGAGACCATCCTGGTCAACATGGTGAAACC